AGAGAGAGAGAGAGAGAGAGAGAGAGAGAGACAGAAGCAAATACCTAATATTTATTGAGTACCTGTTATAGGTAAACACTCTCATATCAACTCTATGAGGTAGTTGTTAGCAGCGAGATAGCCCCTTTTTTCAGAATGAAGAAAATGGAGACCCCGAGAGGGTAAGCAATGTGTCCTTAGTCACACATTAGACAGTGGTAGAGACTTCTGTCAGCCAGTGCCTCTCCCTCTATCCTGCACTGCTTTATATATTGGACATTTTAGGCGAATCTTTACAGGCTTCAGGGCTTTCTCAGCACCAGCCGTTCTACTCCTACTCCTGAGGGTGGAGGGCAGTCCTTAACATGCCCTCCCCTTCCTTTGCTTCCACCTCCTGCACAATTTATTTCCAGGGGTTTCCAGTCAGATAGTATTGCCTTAATAACAGTGCTTACATTTGGATAGTGCTCTACTTTCCAATCGCTGCAAATAAATGGGAATGTGATGGGAACGGAGAGTAAATCCAGACAGTCCACAGAGTCAATGAAACCCGCGCACTGGGTCTCTACTGACGGCTGCTTTGGGATAGTTAGTTGCTTGGGACGGGTCTCCAGTCCTCTATCATTTTTCTCACTCTCCACTCCTTCCAACCTTTTCAGCTGCACAAGTGGCTATTGGACTGCCATTTTTTCTCATCCTTTTATGTCTGCTTGTGGTGCCGTGGGGGATTTTTTCTCCCTGCCTTCAGGAGAGGCATAAATTGGGACCCAAGCCGGACCTCTTTGGACATAGAGGTGCACCCATGGTAGGTCTGAGCATGATGGACTTGGGTGAGTACCAGTGAGCATGGGTTTATGAATGAGAGATGGGGACCTCAGAAATGTAGGAATCTCTGAAGAGGAAAAGGGGTTGGCTTTGATGACAAGAATAAAGGGTTCATTGTAGATGTTGGACTTGAACCCAAGTCACCTAACTCTCAGTCCATTTCTCTTTACTGTGCCCAGTGACATGTGCTCAGATGAGCAGAGTCCCAGATCATATTGGATGGAAGAGAATATAGGCAGGCTCTTTGAAACAATTGCCAAAGGAGCCAAAATCTGCTTCCTAAGACCCTGTTATTATTGGGCTCCCTCCGTGCTGTAAAAGGGATGTTGTGGGGAGAAAGTCAGAGCTAGAGGGTCTGATGTCCTTTTCTTCCACAGCTGGCGCCTGAGAACACCATGATGTCCTTTGAGAAAGCTATTGAAAATGGGGCGTTTGGGCTGAAGACTGATGTATATTTAAGGTAGGAAAGCAGGGGCTGGGTGGGGAGGAGATAAGGTCAATGCCATGGAAGATGACCAGCCTGGCCCAAGTTGTAGAGAGGACAAGCCTCTGGAAGTTTCTCCTGTGTTCCTAGCCACATGTGCACACACACACACACACACAGGCGAACCACTTCTCCCTTGCAAGCATACATCTGTATCACTACATTTTAAATTATAAAGTCATAAATCATACAGACTCTATACAGACTCCACACACAATTCTAATTTGTCCCTATTGCAAACCATGCTTAACACTTAACCCCAAGTACTACCAACAATATGTTTACCTAACAGTCCCTTGACACTTATTATATTCCAGGCCTCCTTCTGAGTGCTATTGAGAGGCAAGTAAGTACTATACTCCTGCCTAAGGGATGTTCCCAGCCAGTGAAGGAGACATGGCATGTTTACCCCAGTATGAGACCATTTGTGGCGTGTGCCTTCCGGAAAGATATATCAAACAAGGAGGAAAAGGTCACCTCCTATTATGGGAAAAAAGACCTGTGTACTCAGAATTGTGTTTGGGTTGAGTCTTGAAGGAAAAATATTACTCTATGAAGCAGATATGGGGAAAGATGGTATTTCAGGCAGAGGCAACAGCTTGTTCAAAGGAATATAAATCAGAAATTGCAAGTTTGTATATCAGTGAGCCAGCCTGTATGGATGCCAGATTGATATCCTTTGAGGTCAGGTGAGGGCCATATGAGAAGTAAGAATGGCTGCAAGGCTCACTGGATCTGGATCGTTGAGATCCTTAAATGTGTAATGGGCAGCCATTGTAGGTTTTAACAGATTTCCCATTGTTTTAAAAGATGTGATTTAGAAAAATTCATCTAGCAATCTGTGAGAGAGACTTCTCAAGGAGATGGGCACTGGGCTGTAACAATGTCCAAGGGAAAACAATGGAATACTTGGATCAGAGCAGTGGTGTGGACAAAAGACCTGCTTGCTATAAAATCTATGTACCTGAGCAGCCTGGAAGTAGAAAGGCTTCATCTCTAGCATGAGGATTTTGTGAATGTGGTGTGTACAAACTGCCTTTGCCGCCTTTCTGTGAGGCAAACAGAAAAGAAATGAACAAATTCAGAGATGAGGAAATGTGGTTTGAACCTAGATTCAGTGAAGGGAAATGTATTGGTAAGGTCATAAGGCTGAAATGTCCCTGATAAAGCCAAGATTGGACCTAGATTTCCTGACCCCAGACTGGGGTTCTTGATATTCCCAACAATAACGACTGTTCCATGCACAATGTTTGAATCAGGGTTTTGAAACAGGATGTTCTGTCAGAGCTCCTGGGTTTATTTGTGGAAGTGCTTGGTGGTCATGGCATAATGTGGTAAAGGTGCTGAGCTCCTGACACATGGTCTTTCTCTCTTCCCTTGTTTCTGTGACTTCAGCTGTGATGTAGATAGATGATCCTTCCAGCACCCCAGTTTCTCTACTTGATGACATCTTCATTTCCAGTGATCATCTCCATATACTCCACCGTTTACATTGATGGCTATACCCTAAGCTGATCAATACCCAAAATTGCATATCAGTCAGGCCAGGAATATTACCCCAGTAACTTGAACAGGAAAAATGTGATATCAGTCATTGCTAAGTGGTAAATGTGGTTAACTACTTAAATTGGTAGAGGACCTGGTCAGTATAAAGGAGCAAGTGTAGCTAGTGGAACTTTTGTTCCAGAAGAAATAAATGTAGTAAGCGAATTTCACCCTGTACTTTCTAAGAATAACAATACAAACAAACGCACAAATTAAAAACTAGGCAAAATTCACCAAGCAACTGACAGAAGACTCTGAAAGGTGGAGAAATGAAGGTGGACTGGCTAGGAGGGTTCATAAGACTCAAGGAAATACCATGTAGGTAGTGAGTTCCCTGTTTTTGTTGTTTTGTTTTTATCTTCATATATTCTTATGTGAGCTCCGGAGACACCTGAAACCCAGAAAACACTTGTACTGGCAGATGGGGAAAAAAAAGAACCCCCTCCAAAGGCTACTTTTTCTAGCAAAAGCCTGGGAGAAGTGCAGCCTAGCAGGATATAAACATGTTGACTATAGCAGCCCTACTCAGGTGAACATCACAATAAAGCCATTCCCCCCCTCCCCGCCTGGGCCCCTGGCCCTAGAGATGATGAGCAGATCCCTGTCTTCCATTCCTGCCCTGAAANATTCCTGGCCTATGTAAGAGGGGTAACCCTTTTCTCACTCTCTTAACTAGAGGGTAAGCAGAGATTTATTGAGAGTATTTGTCTAGAGAAAGTAATTTTTATTGTGGTAAAATATACTTACCATAAAATTTACCATTTTATTCATATTTAAGTGTATAGTTCAATGGCATTAAGTATATTCACCTTATTTTGCTACCATCACCACCATCCATCTCTAGAACTTTTTCATCTTCTCAGACAGAAACTCTCTACCTATTAAATACAAATTACTTGATCTCCCCTTTCCTCAGGCCCTTGCAACCATAGTTCTGTTTTCTCTCTTTATGAACTGGTCTACTCTAGTTACCTCACCAGTGGAATCATACAGTGCCTGTCCCCCTTGTTTCTGGCTCATTTTACTTAGCACGATGTCAGGGTTCACCTATATTGTAGCATTTGTCAAAATTTTCTTCCTTTTTTATTGTGTTAAAAACATAAAATGTAAAATTTATCATCTTCACCACTTTTAAGTATACAGTTCAGAAATGTTAACTGTATTCACATTGCTGTGGGACAGACTCTCTGTTTCATCTTGGAAATCTGCACCTTTATAGCCATTATGCAACACCTCCCTCTTGCCTCTCCCCTTAGCCCCTGGTAACTACCATTCTACTTTCCTTTTCTATTAATTTGACTACTTTAGATACCTTATATAAGTGGAATCATACAGGATTTGTATTTTTTTGACTATCTTAGTTCACTTAGCATAAAGTCCTTAAGATTCATCCATGTTCTAGCATGTGACAGGCTTTCCTTCCCTTTTCAGGCTGAATAGTATTCCATTGTGTGTGTGTGTGTGTGTGTGTATACGTATATATACACATTTTGCTTATCCATTCATGTACCAATGGACATTTTGATTGCTTCCACCTCTTGACTATTTTGAATAATGTTGGTATGAACATGAATGTTCAAATATCTTTTTGACATCCTGCTTTCTATTCTTTTGCATATATACCTAGTCATGGAATTGCTGGATGATTTGGTAATTCTATGTTTAATTTTGTGAGAAACTGCTATGCTAGGGAAAGGGAATTTTTAAACCTGTATATAATATCCTGGGCAGACCTTTGTATAACCCATACATGAGACCACACAGAAGTAACACGGAAGATTTGATGCCTGAATATTGGTCTGGAACACCATCCAGGTTTTTAAAATTAATTAATTAATTAATTAATTTATTTATTTTAAATCCTCACCGGAGGACATTTTTTCCATTACTTTTCAGAGAAAATAGAAGAGAAGGGGAGAGGGAGAGAGGGAGAAAAAGAGAGAAACATCAATGTGAGAAAAACACATTCATTAGTTGCCTCCCCCACATGTCCCAACTGGGGCAGAGGACTGAGCCTGCAACCAAGGTACATACCCTTGGTCTGAATTGAACCCAGGACCCTTCAGTCCATGGGCTGACACTCTAACCACTGAGCAAAACTGGCTAGGGCAACACCATCCAGGTTTTAGATTGACCTCTCAGTAGCACATAATGAGAACCGTCAGAAAAACATTATGAAGCCTTTGAAAACTAAATTGACATTTGAACCATAGCCTACAGACGTGGAACAAGGCATGTGTATGGAACCTAAACGTGGTGACTCTCCTAATATAGATTTAAATAAGAACCAGAATGTCATGATATTCGAACAGTCCAGGATATAATTCAAGATTTTCATTATGCCAAAATCTATAAAAATCTCAACTTAATGAGAACAGGTAATCAATAGATGATAATACCAAGTAAACAGATACTGGAATTAATCTAAGAATTTTCAAACAGCTATCATAAACTGTCTTCGACAAACAATTATGAACACTCATTAAACAAATGAAAAAATAGAAATTCTTAGCAAAGAAATAGAAGGAATAAAGAACAACCAAATGAAAATAAAAGTTCTTTAGAGAAAATAAGTGATTAAAAATGTCAACTTGTATACATATATCAAATCATTATGTTGTAACCTAAAACTAATATAATGTTATATGTCAATTGTATTTCAATAAAATGGGTGAAAAAATCAACTTAATCAGGAATAAAGAAACAACAATGGAGAGGGTGATATAAATATATAAAACAGACAGTTCTCTTCCTCCAGAGTTTAAAAATCATGTTTAATGGTTAAAAGCAAAAAATACAACATTGTCTGATATATTGTGATATATTTAATATGTTAAATATATTTTCATGTACAGGGTTGGGTAAAAGTAGGTTTACAGTTGTTTGTTTGGGAAATAATACAATAATAATTAATAATACAAGAATAAATTCTGTGTTTAGTGCACTTACAGCTATAAACCTACTTTTGCCCCACTCTGTATTTAAGACAACTAAATCATAAATAAGTAAAGGGGGTAGGGTAAAAGGGACCTAAAAAGTGTTTATGTTTCTACAATCTACTTGAAGTGGTAGAATTTTGACCCTAGTAGAATGTGATAAGTATATATATAGTCATGCATATTGTTTTAAGGGAAGTAATTATAAATATTTTACCTAAGAAGTGTGAGGGGAGGGGAGGAGTGGGGAGACAGAGGGGAGAGAGAGGGAGAGCAGTAATTTCTCTCAGTATTGGCCTACCCTTTAACATCCATGGTGAACAAATGTCAGATATTTCAATAAATATATGACATGCCAAGCCAGATTAGAGCCTGAGGCAAAAGGAAAAATCAGTAATAATAATAATTCTATCTCTCTATCTCTATCTATCTATCTATCTATCTATCATCTATCTATCTATCTATCTATCTATCTATCTATCTATCTATCTATCT